ATCAAATCTTTGGTTACTAAACACTTCTTACGCAGGAGCCGGGCATCACTGTTCTCAGGTTCAAGCAGACTCCTCCGTGCAATGCTCACCAGAGAGCAGCCAAAGGCTGGCGCTCTTGGAGGGGACAGCACCTTGTCACCTTCGGATGCTCACTACATGAGCATTTGCTATTCACTTGGTCACCGTGACCCTGCAAATCCTGCAACAGGGCCAGAGATGTAGCCCAGTGGTTCCTCCGCCTGCTTTGCAGGGGCAAGGTTTGATCTCCGGTACAAAAATTTTTTTAAAAATCCTGCAACAAAAGCACAAGGTTTGTAGAAGTCTTTCCTTTATGCTGATGGTGTGGTTCCCCAACAGGATTGAGGGTGCTCAAGTGGCCCCCCCACTCCCATTCATTTCTGTTTTTGACCCAGAGCTTTCAGTTCTTGCAGCAGAAGCCAGGGACACTTTGGGTTCTAGGGTCAGAAGGAACAGGCAGGAAAGCCGGAAGCTACCCACACTCTGGGTATAAAGCAGACGGCTAGGTACTTGGTGAAATTTCCCAAAGGAGGAGACCTGGGAGCTACTGGCTTGGACACATTTTTGTTTGTAGCAGCCTCCCCCAAACCCTCTTTGGGCTGGCAGCTTGCATTGAGGGCTGGCCAGGACCGCCAGGGAACCTAGCACTAAGTACAGGTGTTCCCAGAAAGGTAGGGTTACGGTGATAGGAAAGTCAGCTGTGCAGGGAGGGGTAGGGGAAAGATGGAGCTGTGGCAGACACAGCCCTTCTTGGGAATGGGTATTGGGGTGCAGATCCAGGGTTCCTGAGAGTCTTCCCCAACTCTAAAAACTGCCTCCAGGGGTCAAGGAGGATATCACAGATCAAAGGATGAAATTAAGGACTTGGTGCCTTTGGCTCTTGAATCTTCTGGCCCCAGCTCACCTTCCAGTGATCCCAGCTGAGGCTTCTCCCCAGGTGCTTATGGTCACTGCCAAGGACAATGGGGGTTTCCCATGGGATGGGTCCAGCACTCACCTTCCACCTCCTCTTCCTCCTCCTTTTCCTGCCCCACTGCTTCTTCCCGGGCTGTATCCCAGACTCTCCTCTGATCAGTCACACAGCATCCCCAGCCAGTCTTCCTGGAAGGAGTGCTTAAACGGAAATAGAAGTGAATTACCTCCAGGGAGCTGCACAGGACAGGCTCCCTTCTCAGGAGGCCCTGGGTTTCAGTTCCTCAGCAAGGAGGTGGCAGGTACACTGAGGGACCAAAGAAAGCTAACTTCTTCCCTGTCCTCAGCCTTGAGGAGCCACTGTAGCCTCTCCTTGTACCTTACATGTTTTTCACTGAAAGGAAGCAGCGTATAAATGACAGAGAAGGGACCTCCTACCTCCCAGTTGTGACTATGTGAATATCTAGATTTGGTTCCAAATCCTTGAAGCTTCCTAACTTCATGCCTGAATCCAGAGGTGAACAGACACGGACTACTTTCTCTTCTGCAGTCATTTGTATAAACCATGACTCTTCCTCCCAAGGAACAGAAGGAAGCCTGGCTATAGGCAGTATTTGGTGACCTGACCCCCAACCTAAGAAAGGGACTTCGAGCCAGGTGGGAGGGCAGTGAGGACACCAGGTCTGGGAGCCCCTTGTGGATGGACCAGACCTTTGATCTTTCATCTGGGCCCATTCCGAGCCCAAGGGAGCTCCAGTCTAGCTAGGCTGGGTCAATCCAGGTACCAGCGACCTGCCGGAAGAGACCCAGCATGTTAGCTTCACACCTAATAAACCACCCAAAGATCCCACACTTTCAAATAGCTCCCTTTCTAGCTGCCTCCCCAAACAATTTGTAAAGCCCCTCCTCTTCAAGTTCTGATTCTCGACAAGCACTTTCATCATTCCCAGACCCTCTGCTCCAGAATCTTTTCCAAAAGGAGGCACAAACTGTGATGTCAGGGATCACAGGCAAGCCCTGCCCCTGCAGCACAGGGCCCCACAGGAGGGTGTGGGTCAGCACAGGTTGCCACAGAGCACTGGCCCCTGCTACCCCTGCCCCCGTGGTAGAGCTCTCCGTGGATCCGGCAATAGGGGTGGTGGTGATCAATTGGGAGCGTGGTTACTGCAGAAGAAAAGGGGTTAATGAATTCCTCTGGGACTTATGGAAAAGAAGAAAGATTCTGCAGAGGAAGCAGGGCCCTGTTGAGTCTGGACCATGCTCATCCCCACCCATAGAAGCCCTGGTTCTAGGTTGGGGAGGCGGAGGGCAGGTTCTGGGGACCCATCTATCTCACGTCTTTGCAGCCACTCCTTCCTCCTGATTCTGAAACCTTTCCCTGGGAGCCTGCCTCCAGGGTGAGGTGGGGAAGGTGGTTCCTGAAGGAGGTGGGACCTCTGCTGCCCGCTGCCCAAGGAGCAGTGACAGCCCCTGGCTTCCTGTCCAGAGTGGGTGGCCCAGAATCTTAGCCTCCTCTACTGTGCATCATGGGCAGCAGCAGAGGCATGTGTGGCCTCCGCAGTCAGACTTGTCCCAACTCAACTCTGAGACTTCCCTTTGCTGAAGCCAAGTCTCAGCCTCCTGGAACCTGAATCCTAGAAAATGTAGATGACAAAAACCCTCCTCTTATGTCACAGTGGAGATCTAGGAAGAGCCCAGAAGAAGAGCCAGAGCCAGTGTGGTGGTGCACACCTGTGATCCCAACACTCAGTAGGCTGAGGCAGGAGGATAACTGAGAGTTTGAGGACAGCCTGGGCTATAACAGTGAGTTCAGGGCCAGCCTGAACTACACAGCGAGACCCTGTAACAAAAGACAAATAAAAAACAGAAAAGAAGCCAGGTGTGGCGGTGCATGCCTGTAATCCCAGCACTCAGGAGGCTGAGGCAAGAGGGTCGCTGTGAGTTCCAGACCAGCCTGGGCTACATAGTGAGTTCCAGATCAGTCTCAACTACATAGTGAGAGCCTGTTTCAAAAAACAAACAAAACAAGAAAAGAAAAAGCACATGGCACAGAGGAAGTGTCTCCTGTCCCCCTCAGAGGCAGCACTGCCTTTATTATCCCAGAGAGTATCTAAAGACACAGACTCTGTAAAATGCACTAGAATTTCTATTATCTCACTGTGGGCTTTTGCAAAGCTGTGCGTATTTATTCCTGGAGTTGTTGCTGACCCTCTAACTTTCCAAGGCTGCCCTGTATTGCAGGACTCCCCTTTGTCAGATGAGAAAGAAAGGCTCCTCTTGCCTGCAAGGCCCCAAATCAGTTTTCACTCCTTAAACCCCCTTTAAACAATCTTGCCTGCTGCGGTGAGGGTCTCCTCTGGCGCTCTGGCCCCGCCTGCCGCCCTACCCACCCTGGGCCGCTCACCAGCACCGGAAGCCCGCCCCACCCCGTGGGAAGCGCACTCTCTTGGAGCTTCGGACGCAGCCTGGTGCTGGTGACCGTTTGACTTCCCAACCTGCCTGTTGATTCTTTCGGCTTCCAAAAAGCCCTTGGAAGTGATCTTACTGTAAATATTTGATGTGTGCGAAGGGGGTCTGGATTCTCACTCCACTGCAGTACCCAGCCCCGGGAAGCCTTTTCTTCTGATTCCTCACGCTGCGGGGCAGTCGGGGAGCCTGCCTTTACCGCTCTCAGTCAAGGTGGGTGGGCCGCCGCCTGCTACCCACTAGCCTTCTCTGCAGAGAGGAAGAGCTTCGTCCCCAGGACCAGCTTGGTGGCCCAGGGGAGAAGTCTCCGAGCTGCTGTGGGTCCCACAGGCCCAGCGCACACAGCCTCTGCGCTCCTTTCCTTGCCCCGAGGCAGGGGGAGAGGATCCCGGGGATAATCTGTGCATGCCAGGCTCGAGCTCCCACGCACATTTACACACACACGGACGGACACACACAGACACACACGAGGCGTACAGGACTTTCCGGGCAGGTATGCAGGCTCTACCTCCAGAGGGCTAGCGACGGAGACACAGAGCGCCCTGGTGAACCCTGCAGTTCTAGGAGGGAGAGGGCGGAACCGCCCAGATCCCCGAGACACGCATAGACAAACTCTGGAGTCGCTGCCCAGGGTACGGAGGCGAGAGCCCGCTCTGGTGCCATGGAACGGGACTGGGGCGCGCGGGGACACACGGGCGCC